CTATTTTCCAAACAAATTTTTTTTAAATTTAAAATAAATAATTTTAAGCTATTAAAATTGTTACATACGTATTCAAATAAAATAGTAAAATAAAAAAAACAAGTTAATTAAAAAGTCTAGTGACAATTTTAGCGCAATTTCTTTATGTTATCTAAAAATAGCTCTGACGTATAATGCTGGGGTGCGTTCAAGCTAGGAGAACGATCGGTTTGTAGGTGTTTATGTAATTTTAAAATTTGTGACCAAACGAAAGGATATTTTTTAAAACTTTCTTCGGCAATATTGTTCTAAATTATGGCAGGAATCGATTGGTAAATGTTTCAAGTCGCTAATTGGTCTGGTTGCCGAGATATGGGCCAAAAACTGCATTTTTTCGAGGTTTTTTGGCTTTTCCGGGAAATCCAGGAAGGCATTTCGGGAATTTTTTTGGCCCACAATCATCCTCTGAACTTGCTTAACAAATTTGCTTTGGAACTAGTCCTCGATATTGCTTCGTTGAGGAGGAGATACGACTTAAAGCTGCAAACACACATCCATTCCCAGAAAAGACGAGTTAATAAACGTAATTCTCCAAAATGGAAATTTCGCTAAAAACATGAAGCCAAAGTTTTCAAGTGCATCTGGTAACATGTTGTGGTTTTTTTTCCACTAGCCATCGGCAACCGTTACACGTGAATTATAGGACTTTATTTTTTATGTTATACTTGTTTGAGAAATATTTTTTGTAAATTGTTATTGGTCAAAACGCAATGTGCTTACTTCATATCTAAAAATCCGACACATTTAATTTAACGTAGGCTACCAATACCTATTATAACCATTAGTACAAAATTATATACATTATTAATGACGTAAATGATTCCGTTAAAACCTGTCTATTCAAAGGTATACGTCGTTTTTTAAACTAATGTATGTGCATAATATAATTTCTGGCCGTGAGAAATTGTATAAAATTCATAGGGTACGTCTTGATCTAACTCCAATTTGAATGAAATGTTTGATTAGTTCATACTCCAAATTGGAAGATGTTGAAAAGAATCTAACTAAAGATGACGTCATTAGTATTGTGTATGATTTTCTACATTCGATTGTTAATGATAACTTTTATCTAAAAATCAATGACGCCATTAGTGATGTTACTTTCCATGGTTTAAACTTTTTATCAATAACATTGTTTCATTGTAATTTTTTCCTATTTGTCTCAAGTGACGTCAATATCATTGCCTGTGAAAGTTTTTGTGTTCTTAATATATTCTCTAGATCGTTATTGTCACAACCAAAAACATAAATCTGGTTGCATACTTAAAGATGTGTTTCGACATTTGAATAAGCCGTTATTTTTATTTTCCATCTTTAAATAAAATTTGTTTTATACATTTAATACATCAAACACATTACTTTCAACAAAACGCCGTATCTTTACGTTCACCATATGATACTGAAGATATTGATTACACAGCCTCGGAAAATATGTTGACAAAGAGAGCGAAAGAGAGAGAGAGAGAGAGAAAGAGAGAAAGAAAGAAAGAGCGAGAGAGAAGTACGCACATGGACTTTTATATATTAGGATTACGCTCTCATCTAATAATTTGCTTTAAGAATTTGGTGGTCCATAAAAGCTATCCATGTTATTTGTTTTCATTTATATCGTGTACAATTGTATTTAATTTTTTAAGATTGTATAACTCACTTTAAACACATAATACTAATATATATTAACACTAGCTACATACCTATGCTCCGCCACGGTGAATCTTTTTTAAATATACCAAATTGGGAACATAAGAAACCCAAACACAAACACACACAGAAACTCAAACGAAAGCAAAAACACAAACGCAAACGCAACACTCAAATACAAACGGAAACGCAAACATAAACATAAACACAAAAGAAAATACAATACACACACAACGCAAAATAAACTCAAACGCAAACACAAACAAACAAAAAAAAAACACAAACTCAAAAGCAAACGTAAACACAAAGCAAGGCCGACACGGCTACCAATGTTATAAATAATGTTAAACATAACATTTTTATATTTCTTATGAATCAGAATCAGATTAAATAAAATCTTTAGTATTAATTATATTCTTAATATAATAAATGGTTCATTATGAAACAGTACTGAATTCAGCAATTTATAATAACGGACATCTAAAACCACACGCAACCTCAGCCCACAATTTGTTTCTCCAACCCATATTGGCGCCCCCCTACGGACAGCGCCCTAGGCGACCGCCTAGTTCGTCTTATTGGTAGCGCCGGCCCTGCCCACACGCAAACCACAAGAAACCACCCTAAAACCCGCAAATACAATACCACACTATTACACAACTCCCCTTTCTTCAATTCTCATTCTACCGTAATATATTTTACCTAGTTTAGCATGTCAACTAGCAGCTTCTACTCGCTTAATATAATGTATGGAAAATTATAAGTTATAGATATTTAAATATGATATTGAATTTTTAAACATAAATGCATAGGTGCAAGAAGTTATTTTACATAAGTTATGGTATGTCAAGCGAGTAATCATATATATTGAATTATTATTATTTAGTGAGAAACGAAATGTTTAACCCAAATGAGGTTGCTGTTGAAGAAACGTTTGTGATGAAATGTGACGCATCGATTGCTGGTGTACCATTAAATACGAAGACCGTAAAACGTCTGACTATTCTTTATCAAACAAATACAACGATTGACAATATTGATGAAGTAGTTATATCAGAATATACAATTGATGTTTCTTCATATGGTAGAGTAGGCCTACTTACAATATTTACTTTATCTATTTAAATGTAGATCCATGTTTTTTTTTACTTAATTACTAGATATTTATATATTAAAATTAAGAAACACATAATTAAGATAGAGCATAAAATAATTACTTTAAATATGAATGCAAACACAAACGCAAACACAACGCAACACAAGTTCAAATGCTAATAGACAAAAAACAATTTCACAAATGCAAATGCAATTGCAAATGCAAATGCAAACGCAAACGCTAACGCAACACCAAAACCCAAACATAAAAATAAACGAAAACGAAAATGCAAAAAAAAAAAAATAGAAAACTTTAACACACATGGAAAAACAAACTCAAAGGCAAACACAAACGCAAACGCTGTATCAAAATTGGCTTTTTAATTTATTGTTTACTCGAGGATCAATGACGTCATATTATTGTATGTACTTTTCCGCCTTGAGACTATTTCTTACTATATGCTCCATGTGAGGTCACGTTTCGTTTTTCGTTTTACTAATAATCTTTTTTAATCCGCTTGTGTTTTCTCTATAGTAAAAGCTTTCCAACAAATACATAGATACATACACAGGTACACAGACAGCGAAACTATTATTGTAGATTACTTATTACTTTTTTTTTACTTACTCGTATACGCATTATAGAGAAAGTATTGTAATAGTGGGAAAAAAAATTAGGTTTTTGCAAATCTCGATTTTTTACAACTCCCTGTGACGGAAAAACATAGTTTTACAATCTTGTCCGTATGTCTGTGTGTGTTTGTTTGTTTATGTGGGTGTGTCTGTAAACACGATAACTTGAGTACCATTATAGCTAGCTTGATGAAATTTTATATATAAGTATTATGTCAAATTTGTAGATATATATCAACTTTTGAGCAATTTCCCATAAACCGAAATGTAACTTTTTCTACTTTTAATTTTTTAAAAGCCTATAACTTGAGAACTTTTTCAGAAAGATAAATTAAATTTAACGTGTAAGTCAATTATCTGATGCGCTGCCTTATCTCAAATTTTTAGTAATTTCCATTGACTGAAAGTAGTAATTTACGCTATTTCCGATTTCGAAAAAAAAAACGCATGTGAATTTATAAAGTACTGGTAATATTCCGCACTATTATAAACATTTTGCTTGGCGTTCGCTTGGTGCGCAATTCTATTTCATACGAGATTTTATTCTATTTTTAAAATATTAATTAATAAAAAAAATGGATTTAAAAAAATCAAAGTTTGTTTTTCGATACAAAGTGTCTTTTATTTGTATACATTTCTACACGTTTCAAATGACGTCACTATAAGTCCCGGTGAAATTTTTTATTTTTATTGTGAAAATAAAGCATTTCTTCTGAACTTTTTTAATACAAGTGGTGTTTCTAGAAATAAATATATCAATTAATTAATTAACATCTTTAACATTGTTTGTGTTTAAAAGAAAAAGGAACATTTTTCTCTACAAAAAATAAATAAATAATCAAATTTGTAATCAACTCTATTTTAGTAGTATATAGATATATAGTATATAGTATATTTTTTAGCAGTATATAGAGAGCGATGACGGAAGGCAGGAAGGAATGAATTACACACTACCACCCAACTTATATAATAGATACCAATTTAAAATGAAAAAAATAAAGTTTTCTAAAACTTTACTCGAGCCATGATGAGCAACTTGGAAATGTTAAGTTCATTATTAAATAGATTTTACAAGAAATAAAATACAAATGCTACGACTTAACTTAGAGCATCAAAATCTTTTATTCCATCCACCGCCCACAAATAAACCTAAAGTTACACAAGCATTGCCCATCTTTTTATCCATACACATACAATTACCACCACAAGCTATACATGCATCGCTCATTTGTTTATCCATGCACATGCAACTACCGCCACACCCATTAACAAACCTGTCAGTCATCATACTTAATCTCTATCCCGTATGACTAGATTTCTCACTGTTATAGTCAGTCGGATTTGTTTGTTACCAGCCGGAAATATTGAAAATCCGGATTATAGTCTTCAATACAGCATGAAACCCTAGTATAAATGTGATACGTGACTAAGGCAATGTGGGGGATCGATAACTCACTTAGTTGTGTATTCTCCACATGTTTTGAACAAGCCTGTCTTAGTGATAAGCTTTGCATTGATTAATTAGAGCGACGTGGCGAGTGCACAGCTATATTGGTGATTTAGTGGCGTAGTTATTGTTATGTTTGAGATAAGTTCGTTGATGGTGGAGCAATGTTAACAAGTATAAATTATAAAAGTTAAGGAATCACACAATTTATTAACACGATTGTGGTGAGTTGGTTGTTGTTTATAATTATTGTAAAAGATCATTGTATGATCAAATTGTTGAAAATTACAGTTGCTATAAACTTTAAGTTTTGTAAAAGATTAAGTTTGTTATTTCTTAAAGGGGGTGGGGTAGTTTCGTTTAATCAATGACATTTTGTGTACTTCAATAAATCTCCAAAAGAAAAATAATAATCATAATATAGAATGAGGTATCGTCTATGTAGAACGAGATCTTGTCTTTCTTCTCATACCGATTCGCCTATGTCTTTCACGTCACTTAATTTGATTAGATGGCTTATATGCAACGGAACTTTATTTGAAAAGAAAATTGATATTTAATTGTTCTTACTACACGGCAGAGTTCCCAGTCCTACTTTATGATAGAAATTCAAACAATTTAAAAATGGAAAACAACGTTTTATTCGGCGTGTTGCTAGTAGCTTGGTCATCAGGTCAGTTCCTTAAACATCATTGTGCTACAATGTGTTACATAATTATACGATATTCATAAAATTGATAGCTAACATTTCACGATATTTTATTTGTAATTGGTACAGTTTTATATTAAAAAATATTTCGCAATTTAAAAAGGATTTAACTGTGTATCTTTTTAGTCAGTTGTGATACAATCGTCAACCCCTATGTGGTTGCGGATGGAGGATCTTTTGTGTTGAAATGTGACGCTTCACTTGCTGGCGTACCAGCAAATGCAACATCTATTACAGCTACGGCAATTCTTTGGAAAAACTGGACTACACCGAAAATCTATTTAGCACATTACAGTGTCAATCATCACCCATATAAGAAGAAAGTATGTACTCAGTTTTAAATGTTTAAAATGAAATTCAGATTTGTCCTGAAAAGACGCTATATATATATATATATATATATATATATATATATATATATATATATATATATATATATACTGTATACTATGTCGATGAAAATAAATTATTAGTGAAATACTACCCGTGATGGTCAGGAATATAAAAAGTAAAGTTCCCTTTCAAACCTGACTGTCTACGGGGCAAGTAAAGTAGAGCTCACACGTTTCTGTGACCTCGGCATATGAAGTGATAGATTGGTCAGCGATATGCCCACCCGCCTTTACTTACCCTATCGTGAGTTAGGTAGGCCTACCCATCAAAGCTGAATTGACTCAAGGAGTGTCTACTGACTTGAACCCGGATTCCAATTTGAGACTTACGGGTTAGCAGTCCAGCTCTCTACCGTTTATTAGCCAGGTACTCACTAGCCTCTTTTGAGAAAAACATAACTGCAAAATCCAATGACATTTGTGATAATTAAGGACTAAAGTATAATAGTTATGAATTTCCTTTTTACCAAAATGATATAAGTTCGGGATATTATAGTAATCATACTTTTAATAATTTTATCAATACTTAAAATGCATTAATAATACACATATTAAGACTTCAATACAATTTTTAATACATGAAACGAATTTGTTCAAACTGATTTATTGTATAAAAATTTTACGAATTTGCCATTAGTAAATTAATACAATATTTAAAAAATGATATTGTCGATCAACAATTTGGTAAGTTATCTAAATTCTTGTTTCGCAAAAATTTCAAAAATTTCAAAAATTTCTATAACTATAAAATCTCTTTAATACTCTAATACTAAAGTTTAATAATACAATAATTAATATCTATGAAAATAAAAAGAAAATGTTGTAACATTTAATGTAACAGTACATCCTTTCTACTACCTAACTATTGCTTTTCTTTGTTTAAAAGTCTGTTTTTGTTGTAAATTACCATCCGGCCCTCCCCCTTAATACTAATTATATTCCTAAATATAATTAATTTTTTCAAATAGTTTATGGATAGTACAAAATTATTATTTTTCTATACAAATAGAAAATAATAACATTTGCTTAAAATACTTTTTACGACACAATAAAAAGAACTGTAGGTTTCAGATTTTATAGCGCAGACAAAACATATTGACGTTATAAATTACATGTCTGCGGCTGAAAAAAAGAAAAAAGAAAACTCATTTTTAAAACTGTCGCATAAAACGTAGCGACATACAAACACAGTTTATTTTAATTTAAGTCTAGATATATTGTATTTTAAGATTATTATCATTTTTACTTTCTCGTATATACGAAGTATAGAGAAAGTATTGTAATCGTGCACAAAAATCAATTGAAATTTTAACAATTTTTACCGTATTACACCTCAGTCCTTCATCACATCCGAAGTATAGAGGACTTATTTTAATCGGGCAAAAATTATCAATCCAGATTTATCAAAATTAAGAGGTTTTATGCGTAATCCAGTTTGAAAAACTGGGCGTTGCAAATCTGTCCGTATGTCTGTGTGTGTGTCTGTCCGTGTGTAAACACGATAACTTGAGTACCGTTACAGCTAGGTTGATGAAATTTCATATATGAGTATTTTATCAAAATTGTTGATCCGTATCAACTTTTGAGCGATTTCCGATAACCGGAAGTGGTACTTTTTCTACTTTGAATTTTTCAAAAGCCTATAATTTGAGTACTATTTCACAAGTAAGTAAAAGATCTAATTCTCTACCTTCTGTTAATTTTTGAGTAATTTCCTTTGACCGAAAGTAGTAATTTACGCTACTTCCGATTTCTCAAAAAACTAATGTAAATTTTAAAAGTACTAATAATATTGCGCACTTTTATGCGCTTTTTTATTTGGCGTTCACTTGGTGTGCAATTAATTTGTCTACGAGATTTTATTCTATTTTAAAAACTTTAAGTATTTAAAATGGATTAAAAATCATTTCTATAGCCCGAGTTCCCATCCCCTGTTATTTTATATAAGAATATTCGAGAAAGTTTTGGGGAGATCACTCCCGGTTTATTCATTTTGCTATGTAATGTGTTAAAACTTATAGAATGTATTTTATTTCTAAGAATCCACCACCAGCTTTCCCAGAGAGGAACTGGACTTTCAATTTCTCTGGCGGATTTGATAGATCAGAATACTTCGAAAAATACAATCCAAAAAATAGGAATACAATGAAAATAGAAATTGTCGTCAAAGATGCTAAATGTACGGACGCTGGCACGTATTTCTGTAATGTAGATTACTTGGACGCAAAAGATGATGAGGTGTTTGTGTCAATGTCGCAGGACCTGACTATAAAAGGTTAGATTAGCATACAACTGCAAGTAGCTTGGTGGAATAGGGGAAGGGAGATTAAGACCACAGTATTATTTACTAAATTTACCCGAGGTATTTGTTTATAATATTATGATCGTTAAGTACATCTAAACTTGCTGATCATCTTGTCTCATGATAATGTTCTTGAAGTTGTATGAGAATGTGTTTTTTCAGTACATTTGTTGAGCTCCGCTCCTCCCCCCCCCCCCAATATAGTCGCATAAAGTTTTTAACACCTATCTATATAGTTTTAAAAAATATGTGTATCTGTACAAGATTCCTTTGCAAAATCTAGATAGGCTGGTAGGCGAGGAATCTTCTGTTTTCTATCCTGTTAATATTAAAATATGAAAGATAAGCAAAATTACATTCTACCCGACAAAGTTTAAATAAACAATTACTCTACGTTTCTAGTCTGATCTTAAAACCCTAATTGTATCCCATATAAAAGAGGGATTACTGAATTAATTATAATTTATGCAAAGACTAAACTTGTGAATAAGTAAGATTTAAGGGGGGGGGGGGGGGTGGGGGGTTGACGGTCTATATCCTGCTGGAAAATAACAAAAATAGCTGATGTACAGGCGCTAAAGTGGACAGTCCTTGTGCCAAAAAGCGCATCGCTCATGACTGGTGCTGAGCTAAGCGCAGGATAAGTAAGTCAAGAATTATTAGTCTATAGATATACTAGTAATAAAAAATTGATATTTAGGGTACACTAGACCACCCGTGATCCTTTGGATAACTGTGGTTTCGGGGATCATCTCTAAATGACATCAAGTCTGTCACTTAAAGTCACACAAAAACCAGACCGCAAATTAAAAAGACGTCACACCGCAGACGTTTTTGTCTTATAAAAACACCGATTTAGGCTGAAAATGGGTCTGACCACACTATCCCTTTATATGCTGTGGTCACAAAAACAGGTCAACTCTACTTCGCCTATCCAGTGTCCCCCGAAATCAGACCTGTTTTTACTTTCTCGTATATACGAAGTATACAGAAAGTCTTGTAATCGTGCAAAAAAAAAAATCGAAATTTTTCCAAATCTCGACGTTTTAGGGCTCACTGAGTCGGAAAAAAATAGTTTAGCAATCTTGTCCGTATGTCTGTGTGTATGTGTGTCTGTCTGTCTGTGTGTGTGTAAACACGATAACTTGAGTACCATTACAGCTAGGTTAATAAAATTTCATATATAAGTATTAGATCTAAATCGTAGATCCATATCAACATTTGAACGATTTTTGATAACCGGGAGTGGAACTTTTTCGACTTTGAATTTTTCAAAAGCATATAACTTGAGTACTGTTTCAGATAGATAAATGAAATTTCACATGTAAGTAAAATTTTAATTCTCTGCCCTCTCTCAAATTTTGATTAATTTCCGTCGATCGGAAGTAGTAATTTACGCTATTTTTGATTTCTCAAAAAAAAAACGCATGTGAATTTATAAAGTACTAATAATATCCCGAACTATTATGCACATTTCATTTGGCGTTCACATTTTGTGTAATTCTTTTTTTACGAGATTCAATTCTATTTTAAAAAGTTTAAGTTATTAAAAATGGATTACAAATATTGTCTATGTCCCTAGTTGCCATCCCCCGTAGTTTTATATTAGAATATTCGAGAAAGCTTAAGGGAGATCACTCCCGGTTTTTTATCTTTTAAAACTCGGATTTCGGTTTAGCATAGGTCTGACCACTTTATCCCTTCATTTGCTGACGTCACAGGTTAACTCTACACCTACCCAACTTTACTTCACCTGCCCAGTGTCTCGCCAAGTCTCAAACAACAAGTTTTTATCGTTTAAAAAAGTTTTCAGCCGAGCATGGCTCTGACCACACTATCCCTTCATATGCTGAGGACACAGAAACAGGTGAACTCTACTTCACCTGCCTTGTATTTCGCTAACTTCTGATAGCCAACTTCATTATCCACATCTAAAAAAAAATTGAAAAAAAATTTAATCATTGACTTGATTTGTCTCGAATCCGTTCCACCCGCTTAGTAATCTTTTACACTGTCATTTTAGCTATCTAGGCTCTGCATATAAGAGACGTATTAAGTGCTATATTTGATATTATAGTCTGCGTAAGAAACTTGATTTACAGGAATTGGCCCTATTATTATTTCAAATTAAATTATATCCTAAATTAAATTAGCCCATTCCATAGCTAAATAAAGAAAGATTTATATAAACTAATGAAGGTGTGAAATAGTTTAGGATAGAAACTCATTATTTTCTAGATCTAGATCGAATTTTCTAGATCTAGATTGTACGACTTTGGCTTAAGAAAGATAGATGCTAAGATATATATATATATATATATATATATATATATATATATATATATATATATATATAGATCTATCTATTAATCTTTTAATAGATCTATCCATCTTTCACACATAGTACATCCAACCCAGTTCACAAGACTCCCATTTATACACTTATTTAATGTAAGTTACTGATGTTAATTTATATCTGTGCTAACACAGAACACTAATATGAACAGATTGAAAAAAAAGTGCGTCTCTAGATAATCTGAATAAAGTTCGCTATCTACAAAATGACCATTTAATAGCTAAAATAACACCAACACCAAAACCAAACTATTCAGATAAGTACAAATTGGTTTTAAAAATAATAGAAGTAGGCCCACAGCATACGACATAACAAGAGCAACTGATAATATCGGTGACTTCACTTTTATTTTTACCCCAAAAACAGTAAATAAGAGAAAGAAAAACTGGGGGCATTGTGAGTTCATAAAAGCTTAGGAATAAGCAACACATAGGGGAGTGTTAACTCTAATCCTTATATTCATTAAGGGCAGTAATTTCATATTCAATTTGAGGTTATTTTTTCTGACTTATTTATGGAAATAATAAATATTTATATATATTTATAATTAATTAATAATAATATAAGATTTATGGAAAAATTCGGAAAACTCACAACCTTGAAGTACAATCTAAAATAAATTAGTGTAAAGGAATATTAGAAGAGAAAACACATAGTAAGTAGTTCTACATGTGTATTTCAAGTAATAAATAGCTAGATCTTACCTCCAGAATAGATGTATCCAAATGGGGAGCCGGACGTTTTCCCGAAAGACACTTTCCCGAATGCCGTTTGCCCGAAGGCCGATTTCCCGAATAGACACTTGCCCGAATGCGACAAATGCCCGAATGGACTCTTGCCCGAATGCGACAAATGCCCGAAAGGACACTTGCCCGAATGCGACAAATGCCCGAATGGACACTTGCCCGAATGGGACAAATGCCCGAATGGACACTTGCCCGAATGCGACAAATGCCCGAATGCCACTTGCCCGAAGGCCGTTTGCCCGAAAAATGTTAATATTAGATAATACATAATATTTCCAAATAGACATTCTTTAATCAATTTAAGTTTGAAATTTTGATTATAAACACAATTCTTTGGATAAAACAAAGTTGTTTATATTTTTAAATTTAGCTTTTTTTAAAAAAAAAACTGAGAAAGTGCAGTAAGAAAAACTTTATTCTTTAATAAATGTAAGGTGATGTTGGCGGCGGTGTTCTCACATTCTTTTGATGAATGTTTTGAACACCTTGTTTAGCCGATGTGTTGCGGTGGTTATATAGCTTTTATGACACGGCGTAGGGTGCTCGGCGTCTCGCAACATTGAACAGAGGCGCGTTTGTCTGTTTATCTTATTACGATTAACTTGTGGTGATCATTTAACAAAAGAATGAGGCGAGGTCTAGGTGGCAAATTTTAAAACTAAACGTAGTCAGATATGTTTGATCTCCATTTAATGCACCTTGTTAAGACAATATGTTGAAGTGATTACTTAATAAAGAAAGCAAAACTCATTTTAAAATCCGGAGATGAATGTAAATTGTATTTTTGTCTAATTTCATATATGGAAGAGAAAGTATGTTTCTACACTTTTTAAATATTAAATACAAATTAATTTAAAATGTCTGCGTGGTAATGCATACTATTATTTTTTCACTTTCTTTTTGCGTAGATGTGTTTTGTTTACCAACATTTTAAATTTAAATTGATTACGAATGATTATTTAGTAATATATAATGTTAACATTTTCCGGGCAAACGGCCTTCGGGCAAGTGGCATTCGGGCATTTGTCGCATTCGGGCAAGTGTCCATTCGGGCATTTGTCGCATTCGGGCAAGTGTCCATTCGGGAAATCGGCATTCGGGCAAACGGCATTCGGGCAAGTGTCTTTCGGGAATTTGTCGTAGACCCATCCAAATGATGTAGGTATTTTCTTGTGCTGATATTTATATGGTAATAAAAGCTAGAAAAAAAATCGTAGGCGGCGGTTATAATAAAACTTTCTATGCAACAATACAAAATATGTTTGCGGTGGCAGCGGATTCGAGCACGGTGATCTTCAAAGACGATAAATCTGTCGGCCTCGGTGTTACACACAAAAGAAAGAAAGTGATATATCGTCGGCGGTACTTCGGGCGGTTTCGAACAAGGTGGTATTCTAAGTCGACACAAAAGATGGGGGGAGTTGACAAGTCTGCACCAACTACCACTGTAAATCGAGTGCGGTAAATTGTTCGCAGATATCTTCGCCTTTTAACACCACCCAGCGTAAATATCGGGTTGTCGTAATATGCGAAACAAAAAGTCACGTGACTGACCGTTTTCGCGCCCTTCTCGCAGTTTACCGCCTCTCCATTTCGCTTTTTGTTCCTCGCAATTTACCAACACCCAAAGTTTAGTTTTTCCGTATTTCTAGATCTAGAACCTAGATAGATAAATCCCTTGTATTTTTAAATTAGATGATCCGTGAAGCTAAAAAGCAAATATGTATATGAAATATTAAAGGAAGAAAATAGTATAATAAAGAAACTGAATAATGTATTGTGATTTTATATGGTTTTCAATTTTAACTAATTAATTTTGGTTTGATCTAGATTCTAGATTTTAGATCTAGGATTGACTTTCCATTCCTCCGACAGCTGATCTGTAGATCTAGAGAAATTTATTGTATACTCAAATTAGGAGAACAATTGAAAATTGATAATAGTGTTGGAACCTAATAAAAATAGCAAACGGACGTATCGTTAAAGCCTGTGGAGTAGCTACCGTAAAGCTAGCGTAAGCAAGGCATAGGGGCCCACGGCATTTTGGGGCCCCTTTTCCTTTTTAAAAAAGTAAAACTTTTGCATTGAAATTTTAATATTTGTTTAATATAAAAAAATTTAAAAAGAAAATGAAAATTCAGTTTATTTTCTATTTTAGAAATAATTAATATTTCCAAAAAGGCCCCCAGTCTTTCTTACTTTATAAGTAATGGGATTCAATTGGGGGGGGGGGGTCAAACAGGGCCCAACCGTAATCATATTACTACAGGCGTTCCGCTTGGTCGTGCAAGCCATTGTGAGAATTAGCCTATAAAAAAACTTGAACTTTGACTAGTTTGTAAGATTGGCATCCAGCACCATGTATCGCTACAAACCTCAACTGACTGGGAAATTTCCTACCCCATCCCACAGACTTGCACCACTCTCCAAACTGTCTGCCCTCCACGAAATTCCATCTTTCTAAACATCCATGATAACAGCTGAGACATCTAAAACAAAAAAAACATGGACAGTGTTTTCACAACCAGCTGAGTCCAACATTTGTCAGTGTTTTTCTTTACCCTAAAAACTTTTCATTTGTTGATCTAATTAATCTTTAATCAATCTTTAATCAATATTACGCTACTAACACTCTAAGGTTTTGATTTTCGTCCAACCACCAAGAAAATTTGGGAAGTCGTTGATATTATACCAAAGAAAATGTTTTTCACAGACATTTTTCCTGAAAATATACCTGAAAGAAACTCTGAATTTTGGGAAGTTTTCTGCCATTAAATTATTATGTTATTTCTGAGGGCATCGCCCCGGCAGTAAGGCGATGTGGTGCGCAACCCAGAGTTTCCCAGCGGCTGCACCCACCTGGGATCCGTTGATTGGGTGTCTTGCTCAGCGGATAAGCTTTACTTCTTGATTCAGTGGTCAAATTGCAGCCGGCACCTAGGCGGTTGTGTAACCCGGTGCGCCCCGGGGTCCCCCATAAGCACTACGGCGCCTATATTCGTTTTATTGAGCGCCATACACTTGGGATACTTTGGGATCTTAAAGTCAATTACTAAATCGAATAAGGGGTGTCCTACAGGGCATCAGCAGTAGTAACGGTTTGGCGCCCGAGTTACCCATAGGCTACATGATTGCACGAAATCCGTTGATTGGGCGTCCTGCAGAGTCTTGATTCAGCAATAGGGGCGGCTTTTGACACCAATCACACGAGCTTTCTACAATAGGGACAGGGTGGGCCTCTACATTCGACGACTAAACAGAACCAGAGGTTGTATCCGGGTAACGACGGTGGTGTAACCAGTCACTCCCCCGAAGACCTTGAGACCTAGGTGGCCGCCAAAAGGTATTAAACCTCACTATTAAGGAAGATGATTAACATACCAAGGGTGTCTAAGCGGTAGTATGGACAACAACAAAGATCCGAAAAAAAAACAGTGTTGTTTACATTTTAACTAGACCTATCTGAGTTTTTGAAAACAAGGTCACACGACTAAAAATACACAATTGAAAGTGCGTTGATGAAACCCTTACAAATTGTTTTGTCACCATGGTATGTAGGACTAGATCGCAGCAACGCGGACGAGTACGCTAGCTATTATTTTAGCTAGATACCACTTAGTTTGACAGTAAATTGTACAATGGTTTGTCATTGTGTCACGTCTAAATATTGTCATTCGATGCGGACCGCACCCCTGAACCCGCCTTATGACGCTACTATGTTTACTTAAAAAAAAACCAAATTAACTTTTTAAAAACTACATAATAATATAGTATAAATACACAATCAGGATGTATAAGGTATAAAATGTAGGCTTAATGAATATTTATATTATTTAGAATCCTTCTTCTTAAGTAGCAGTTGATTTCTTCGTTTAACTCCATTGTAACACAACGGCTGACGAAAGGGGGCCCAATGATAATTTTTGCATAGGGGCCCGAAAATCCAAGCTACGCCACTGGTTAAAACTAAAGCTGTTAGAAAATTAGTTTTATAATGCGTTAAACTTTTGAATGGGCACCACAATCTTCGATGGAAGCCGCTATTATTGTTATAAAATGTAAATAAATTATGTGACGTCACTATAAATAAAGTCATTGTTCTGAACTTTAATAATTAATGTGGTTAATCTACCAATCTTTTTCTTCTTCTTCGTTCTTAATTGAGAATATGGTGGAGGATTCAGACAACAAATCCAACTTCGTGAACAAACCGGACTGTGGTCTCCAGTTTGGCAGGTGCCCCATATAATTTTTCCCTGAGTGGGGTGGGCAGGTGCCAGTGTCTGACTCGTGCCTGGCTATACAGAGAACATTCCTGAAGAACGTGCTCCGTATTTTCCGAGGCCTTGCCACAAGGGCACATTTCGCCACACCCAAACTTTAGTTTTTTGTGCATGTGTTGATTTAGTCTGTTGTGGCCTGTTCTAAGTCGAAAGATTATGTACTGTTGTTTTCGTGTCAAAATCTACCAATGAATATATTAGTAAATCAATTAACGTCTTTAAATTAATTGTGTGATTAACAGTTTGGTCAAAAAGAACATTGTTCTCTACCTAACTACGTATTTTACAGCTTTACTAGGATTGCTATGAGTATCTGTTTTATTTAATGATAATATTATCTTTTCAGTCTGTAAACAATCATCTACCAATACACTTCTCAGCACAGACGTGGTTGAGGATGGGTTATCTTTTACTGTGACATGTGACTCTTCACGTGCTGGTATTCCAGCAAATGCTGCAACAGTGAAAACAATGTATATAGCCTGGACAAACGGGACAGAGATGCCAATAAATTTAGCAAGATACGATATTAGGACAAATCCCTACACATTTAAAGTAAGACTTTACAAACATCCTCTATGTCAAAGCAAACTGGGGGTTGTTTTTCTGTTAATCACAACTGTTAGAATGTGTAGTTGCAGGTAAGTTTCAGGGAAATTTGTTTTCTTGCCAAAATGAAATAACATTCTCAAATGCATCATTAGTGAAAATTGAATCTGATAATGCTTGAATTATTTAGAGCCGTAGGCAGTGGCGTAGCAAGGTCGGGTGTCACCCGGTGCGGCACTTAATGGTGTCACCCCCCCCCCCCCAGAGGCGCAGCGAACCTTCCCGGGGACACACTCTCAAATTTTCGATTTGCACCCCACCCCTCCCTCAAACTTTTAATTGCACCCCCCTCAAATTTTCGATTTGCACCCCCCCCATCTAACTTTCGATTTGCACCCCCCCCCTCAAGTTTTTCTCTATATATTATATTTTGCTATTTTTCGCCTTGGTGTCACCCCCCTAAATGGTGTCACCCGGTGCCATCCGCTCCCCCCGCCCCCCCCCCCCCCCCCCCCTCGCTACGACTCTGGCCGTAGGCTATATGTTGTAAACATTTGAATTGCCCAAAATATTTTATAAACCATTTCGGGACTATTTGCCACCGCTTCCAATACCCGGGGGTATGAATGTCAAGAAAAATAACGGGATGTTTATGAAAACGTCCTGTTTCATGTAAGTTATTTGCGGTACTGTTGTGTCTTATTTTTGTGCAATATTTTCATAATGTTAAATTTGTTTTGACGTCTTGATTCAAATCAAATATATTATAGGAATTAGCAACTTTACAGTAATTTTATTAATCTAAAATTGCTGCCTAACTATACATTTTTACTTTGAGTTAGACTTAAAATGAATATAATATTTGACTAATGATTTATGTTTAGGTGGAGATCATTTGATGTTGAAATTAATTGATGCTTTTTTTTATTTAAGTAGGTTCAATTTTCTTTGAGATGTTACGATATACGCTTGGATGTTGGCTTACTGATTAACATTATATTTAAGTTACAACTTTCAGATCAGTTGAAATTTAGACATAGTCTTTGAAAAGGATCTGGATTTTAGCGATAATATTTGATGTCATCATTAGTTTTTGTTTGTTTTCATAATAAACGTAGCTTTCTTTAAAGAAAGCTAATTTTTTATTGCGTATTTTAAAAAATCCGAGCAAGAAGACCGATGCCTTCATAGCCAATGGTCAATTTACCGATTGCTATATATAATACTTTCAAAACGATAGATAGGAAGGGTTAATTAAATAAAGAAATCTAAACACCAATCATGGAGGCTCAAACTGTTAAAAAAACTATAGCCATCTCAATAATTGTGTTTAAAGTGACCGAAAACAGACCTAGACAGATCACGTCCTTACATAAACTATACATTTTTCAAAGTGTTTGAAATTAGAATGACCATTTATTGCAACGAGCCGACCAGCTGCTTTAGTTGTTTTATTTTCTACTTTTCAGTAACTAATAGGTTGTAAATTTGACACATTATATTTTTTAGATGCTGCCACAAAACTCATCGTCATGGAAAAGGACTTTTGAGTTTATTGGAGGCTTTGAAGGATTATTGGACAGACCAAATAACAGAAACACAATGAAAATTAAAATGACTGTATATAATTCTGAATCTTCCGACACAGGCTTATATATTTGTAATGGAATATACTTCAATTCTCGAGGTGAAGAAAGTCAAACTCAGTTATACCAATATCTCTCCATCAAAGGTTAGTTTACCACATGGATGTATATAAAATGATCAAAGTATAGCTTTATAAATAATGTTAAACATAAATCATGTTAAACATAACACTCTTATATTAATTGATTTGGACGAAAAGAACGCTAAATATATAATCTTAAATAGAAAGATTTCTAAAATGTAATGCTCTGACAATGATTTATTTAAATTGATTTTTGACAGCTTTGGAGACAAATTCTAACATGAAAAATAATAAATAGTTCTTTAGGAATCCGTGTTAAATTTCTCTCACAACCTCAAACACATTTGGAAAGCATTGGCAACCACCTTACAAACCATTCACACAAAAATAGTTCCATTACTCTAACCCAGACAGCCGAATTCCCCCCTCCCCCAAATTCTAACCACACACAAATTCAATGTACTCTCTCATCCCTCATCCATCTTAATTGATTTTTCCAAATTTAAATTATCGATTAGAAAGATTCGTTAATTTTATTGACTGCATATTACATAAATTATATGTAAGTTATATTTTTAAAAGCTTTAGATTTAACAATAGTAGTTAAGTATAGAAATAAGAAATTATTCTGCATAAGTGTTGACATGCCTAACTACTAATCAAATATAATGGGTTATATTTTAAGCCAGCAGTGACGCAATGTTTAACCCAAATGTGGTTCCGCTTGAAGATAGTTTTTTATTCAAATGTGATGCAAACATCGCTGGTGTTCCTGAAGATGCAAGAACCATAAAACGTCTGACTTTTGGTATGCCACCAAACCGAGATACGCATTTCACGCTAACAGTTGTTATATCAGAATATAAAATTGATTCTTTACCATTCATTGTCAATGTAAGTATACTATTTTGATTACATTTATTTCTCTGTAGATACAATAAAATACATAACAAAAAAAAGGACAATACAATAGAATACAATAGAATAGTGTACAGCACAGGATAAGTGATAAAGGTTAAGGGAAAGTGATAATTCCAGTAATTTGGATAGTTATAGGGATAGTTACAGTGTTTGGGATTGGGATGGGGATATTTTTCTGTTTATAATTAGTGCTTGTGTTTATGCTTGTGGTTAAGGTTAAATAATTTATTTAAACATGTGTATCATTCGCATAACCCATACAGAGCCGGGTATAAGCTGCTAATATATATATATATATATATATATATATATATATATATATATATATATATATATATATATATATATATATATATATAATATATATATATATATATATATATATATATATATATATATATATATATATATTTAGTGAGTGTTTCCTGAAAATATTTTAGGTCCCACCAACCCAATATGCTATTAACAACTGGAATTTTTATAACTCTGGAGGCTTTGAAGGATCAGCAAAAAATCCAAATAACAGGAACACAATGCAAATTAAAATTGTTGCAAGAGGTGCTAAATGTGCTGATGGTGACACATATTTTTGTAAAGCAGAATACATGGGCGCGAATAACAAAGAGTTGTCTGTGTCCAAGTCGCAGAATCTTACTATAAAAGGTAAGGGCATCGTATGCCTGTATGTCTGTATGTCTGTATGCCTGTGTGTCTGTATGCCTGTGTGCCTGTATGCCTGTATGCCTGTATGCCTGTATGCCTGTATGCCTGTATGCCTGTATGCCTGTATGCCTGTATGCCTGTATGCCTGTATGCCTGTATGCCTGTATGCCTGTATGCCTGTATGCCTGTATGCCTGTATGCCTGTATGCCTGTATGCCTGTATGCCTGTATGCCTGTATGCCTGTATGCCTGTATGCCTGTATGCCTGTATGCCTGTATGCCTGTATGCCTGTGTGCCTGTGTGCCTGTGTGCTTGTGTGCCTGTGTGCCTGTGTGCCTGTGTGCCTGTGTGCCTGTGTTCCTGTGTGCCTCTATGCCTGTATGCCTTTATTCCTGTATGCCTGTATGCCCGTATGATCGGCGAAATTATATTAAATTTGTAGTTTTGTAACTGACAATACTGCTATTTCTTCTTAACCCTGACTTACTATTTATAGAAACACAAAAATTGATCTATCGAAATTTTAATCGTTATTGTTTAGGAGAATTCTAAATATAAAGCTATTGTTATGATCGAAAAAAATTTTTTTTATATTTACATCAAACCTTCTCCTAATATTTTAGCAAAATCATAAAATCTTCACTGTACCTAACCAAAAATGATAAAACTTTGTACTACGTGGTAGTCATTCAACAGTACATAACTAGATTTCAATTTTGTTTAAAGTATATACATGAAAGTATGCGTGTCTGTTGGTGGGTGAGTGTTAGTCTTTCTTTTATACATTACTTCAAGGTTTATCCGATCGCCATAAATTTTACGAAGTTGTTAAGGATGTTTCTGGGAAGGTTTCTGCGAAAACAAATGTTTTACGTTACATAAAATAAACAACATTATTTTCTTTGGGTGTGTGTGTATTTTATTCATTGAGATACCTTGAATCCGATAGCCATGAAACTTTGATAAATTGATCAGCTTCTCTTTGAGCATCACGACGCCAACATTCGTTTTTAAAACTGCAATACTCTATGGTTACGATTGGCTCTTAAAGTTTTTCATTAAATCGAATTGGGGCGCATCTACCGGCATCCTGACAGCGTGTACTTTAGGCGCCCCACGTAGTCACTATGACGCCCCTACGTTCGTTTTAAAGAATGCGATACACTATGGATAAAACGAGCCTCTTTATTTACTAAATCGAATCCGAGTTGTACTCTGGCACACCAGGCAGGGTGAAATTTGGTCCCCCCTTCCCCTTAATCACTGTGGCTCATATGTTCACTAAAAGGTTTGCAAGAGATTATGGATACTATCTATATATATCTATACATGTTGTCTAATTTGCATCAGACGCGATCGTAATCACAATATAAATGTGCTATTGTGGCACAGGACATTCAATGATTGAACTTAACCAGCGACCGTTCCCGGCGCCCCTGAAGTTGTGTAACTGGTGGCTCCTGAGTGCGCCCTGCGCACACTTCTGACAAATGGGTGGTCGCCGAGAGGTATCTACCTCTCTGTAACGGAAAGTTACTCACGCACTCACATGACATTCAAACGTCACGGCCTGTGGCGTATGGGCGTTAGCGTGTACAAATGTACACTATAAAAACTCAGTTCCAAGAAATATTACTCGGTTTTGGAAAACAATGGCACGCGTATAAAAATAAACTATTGGCAAATCATTGATGAATTATTCTTAAATTTTTGCGTCAGCATGCAGCATATATATATATATATATATATATATATATATATATATATATATATATATATATATATATATATATATATATATATATATATATATATATATATATATATATATATATATATATATATACATATATATATATATATATATATATATATATATATATATATATATATATTATATGTCTGTGTGTGTGTTTGTGTGTTTAATTGTCCTTGATGTATTACTATATTCTTTATCCGATCAATACGAAACTTCGCGAATTGATAAGAAAACAACGCTTGGCATTGTTTCTGCGATATAACAAGATTGATTTCGGAGAGCGGCACCCATGTAGTGTATTGTGTACCTAATAACTGATATGCATACATACATGCATACATATATGACTAAGGTGTGGAAAGAAAAATTAGTAAAAATATGTAATTTTTAGCGCAATTTCCATACTGGGGGATTGCGATTATTAACTCGTCATTTCTGGATGGATGGATGGATGGATGGATGGATGGATGGATGGATGTGTGTCCGCAGCGTGTCCGCAGCTTTAAGTCGTATCTCCTCCTAAACGAAGCAATATCGATGACTAGTTCCAAAAGCAAATATGTTAAGCAAGTTTTGAGGATGAACATAGGCCAAAAATATTCCCGGAATTCCTTCCTGGATTTCCCGGAAAAGCAAAAAAAAATCGAAAAAATGCAGTTTTTTTCCCATATTTCGGCAACCAGACAACTGCGACTTGAAACATTTACCAATCGATTCCTGCCATAATTTAGAACAATATTGCCGAAGAAAGTTTTCAAAAATATCCTTTCGTTCGGTCACAAAAATTCATTAAGAATTTTTAAATTGAGCATCGTGTAGGCCTAGGATGATATTTTTAATTTAAACTGAGCATCGTGTAGGTTTTTAGCGCAAAGCGCTGAGGTTCGAAAGGATTTTACCATAGCGAATGAGCGGAGGTTCGAAAGGATTTTTACGTAGGTCTGTGAATTCTAAAAAATTAATTAAGTAAATTGCGCTTAAATTGTCACTAGACTTTTTATTAACTTGTTTAAAATGATTTTCCCAATTACCCATCAAACACGAGTGGAAAGTATGAAACATTTTATGTATGGGTGGGTGTGTGTTGAGAGGTTGAGTGCTAACAGTATGATTCTCTGTACTTTTTGATTTTTTTTACTGATTAATATTTAGCATTTATAAAATATATAAGTCGCAAGGCCTACTCGGGTTCAAGACCTTAATTTCTCTTTACTTATTGAATATGAAATTTATATTTTAGGCCCGTACCCAAAATTTTATTCTAATCGTCACCAATTTTTCTCGGCATCTTTAAATACTGTTCATTATTTATATACATATTGTTTTAATTATGTTTCAGCAATATAATAAGTGTAAGTGAATATTGTTGGCTAATTAGTTTTAAACCACACAGATAGAGTAATCTTTCTGTCCATGGGAGCATCGAACCACTATTTCAACGGACATAGTGAAAATGAGCCTTTTTTTAACTCAGACTCTAATGCTGAACTGTATTGCCAGGCCGATGTAGGTATCGTGAATTCTACAATCTTATCTATTAACATAGCTAGCAATCTATGATTGCAGATAAATTAACATTATTCTTTGTAAGCCTTAACAAACAATGAAAGAAGATAAAGTAACCGTAACGTAATAAAAGTCTAAATTACGATATACTAGACGACCTGATTTTCTTTAGAAGACTGTCTGCATATTACTAAACCGCCGAAAAACACTAAACCATCGAGCTCAATCAACAACTCATCCTATGGTACAAAAGCCCCATCTTTTTACACTACATTCGTAGTATTTTAAAAGAAAAACCTGAACCATTAAAATTAAAAATATTATTTTTAAAAGTTTTTACATTAAAGGTTACTTGTAAGTTAAAGGGTGGGTCTCTGACATTTGAACTGGTGTATGATAAAGGACAAATTATAGGTGGTGGGGTGAGGGAGGGAATTCAGATATTGTGACTGTATTTAATTTTGTTCTTGTATTTTAAATGTACCTAATCTTGTATTTTTTTGCAGGGATCACAAAAGTTAACCTTTAAATGGATGTTTGGCAGGCTTGGTAAATTTGAGCTATGTCGAGAACCAGATTTTATTAGAATTGACAGTTTTGATTTGTATCCTCTCACGAAATGTGACAGGTACTGGTGTACCTCCAAACTAAAGTTTCGAGCGAAAAGTGTCTATGACGCTCTTGAGTTTCAATGTGTGGTTACAGAAAACAATACAGACACAGTTCTAGGGAACATCCCGATATACGTGAACGGTACAACAAAAAATCGTTGAGGTAAGATTGCTATTGTTTTTGTGTAAAGCAAATATGTTTTATCGTTGTTGATTCAATTGATTAAAGAAATCATTGTTGAACTATATTTAGAATTTAAGAAATTCATAATTGTTGTTCTAACAATAAAGCTACAATTTATCTTTCTTTAAATGTATCTATCCCTTGGTTTTTATTGCAATTTAAAACCATAATACGTTAGTATTCGTAAATGTTTTACAGGCTACATAACTTATTTTGTTCAAAAGTTAATAACATGTTTTCATCCATATGCTAATAGTTTAAACTATAGTTTAAAATAAAATAAAATCATATCTAACTAATATGGGTGCCATGGAAAAGAAGAAAGGTATGAGAGCATACTAGAAGATATTTGCTGTCCACATAGTACTTTGAAAGTTTTAGGGGGGGGGGAGGGTTCTACCAAGTTTAACATGGCAACAAAAGGATAACCCTTGGATGTAGACGTCTGAAATCTTTAGAATAGATAGCTAACAGGTTTTACTACGGAATAAAGAAAAATATTGTTGTGAGAAAAATACCACTAGTAACAATTACATGTTTATCTTCTATCCTTAAAAAAAAAATTTAAAAAAAAATTCTTATTGACAGGTAAAACACGGAACCTGTGCAGAACGACTGAACTGGTATTATTTTGTCTCAAATAATAGTCGAGGACTTTTGGTTTCTAGTTTTTGATTGGTTAAAAAAAAATCTTTCCAAATTTCCTTTTCGACTTATTCTTGTGATTTTAAGTTTTCTTTGTTTGAAAGTTATGTAAATCTAGTATTCTATTTTAATGTTGGTGTTCTGTGTTATTATTCTTTGTTTCGCTACTAATTGCAACACATTCCTTATAAGATTTGATGTGATTTTTTAAGCCAAAAACTCGTTAAATTTAATTTTTTATAAAACCCGAAACATAAATAACAATATCGGATTCAGCAAAGCAAAATTACATTTGCTCTAAAAGAGAAAATATATATTACCGGCATAAAACTGTACGAGTCATGCACTTAAACATTTATTAATAACATTATTTAATGTAAAATGAAATTACCAAATTCTTCGGGTTGTTTACTTTCATATGGTATTAATTAAATATTCTGTTATTATTGTTAGTGTTTGAAAACACTTTGATAGTGTCGATTTCCATATATATATATATATATATATATATATATATATATATATATATATATATATATATATATATATATATATATATATATATATATATATATATATATTTATATATATATATATATATATATATATATATATATATATATATATATATATATATTACCTTCGTTATTTATTCTTTCATTTTAGCGTATTTAATATGAAGTAGTCAGTTGGGGTTTTGATTTTCATAATTACTATTTTTCTTGAACATTTGTATTTGTTTCTTCATTATTATCATTATTTATAAATCAAGAGAACAACAATTTTTATAAAATTAATTTGTTTTACTTATGGGTAGTATAAAAATATCTTTAGCCACAGAATTTTATACTTGGACAGTTAAGTGAACAATCATGCAATAAGATTAACGGATATATATATATATATATATATATATATATATATATATATATATATATATATATATATATATATATATATATATATATATATTATTATTATTATTAAATAAAGTCAAGTGAGCATTTATGATGACGTGAATATTTATTAGCATTCTAGATGAAATATCCATTGACTTGAAAAAGCAAAGCATTAGTGCATTTTGAAAGTCATTAAACACTCTCTGAAATACACTAACACTCCAAAATATTTGCTTTTAAAATCAGGATTTTACCAACCCAACCCTTGGAAAACAGTTGTTTTTACCCCTGTCTCCGAATTATTTTATTATATTTATTTATATTTTAGTATTGTGCATTGGGTAACTTCCCCAACCATTTTACGTAAGTTCAATAACTCAGAGTAAAATGTCTGAAGGTTAGTTTTAGCATCAGTGAGTTCTCTTTGTTTGGCAGAAAGGTCGTTGGCCATCTGTGACAAAGCTTGACTAAAATTTTCCTCACACTTCTCCGTTTGATTTGCATTCTTGTCAACCCCGTTTTTGCTATGTGTTTGTTTATCCAACATAGCACCAATCTGACTTTTTACGACTGTCTGAGTCTCCTCTATTTCCTGTGTGTACTCCTCTGTGGCTTTTTTTATTTGCTGAGTCACTAAAATCAACTGGTTCACTAAATCTATATGTCACAAAAGAAGTAAAAGTGATAAACTAATTGATAAAGTGCATTTTTCGTATGATTATCTTTATATTTAAAACAAATATATAATACATAACTTTTATTAAACAATTGAGTTAGTAGTAAAGCAGAGTGTGTTAGTTACCTCACAAGAATAAGTAACTATTGAAAAACTGCTCTATATCAATTACATTTCAACCGTCACTTTTTTCTCTTTCGTGTAAAAAATATTTTTTCAACTTTATTATCTCGTTTTTCATGTCATATTCTGCATCGTTTCTGCGTAAATTTACCGAAACATTTATCATTAAACTTAACCAGTTATACGTTTCAAAGGACCTGTTTCCAATTGATAATATTCTCAGCAATATTTTTATTAAGTAATTGATATAGGATAATTTTTACCATTTTTATTTGAAAATATTATTTCTGATTTTTAAAAGAAATAAACTACTAAATAATATGTTGTAGTTATTTCTTTTGTGCTAAGTTATAAATTTATATTACACATTAAGCTCAGCACATCCACAATGTTTGTATTACGTATCGTGCAGAACAATACACGATAGTCCAGTTCAGAATTTGTCAATTGTTTCTAGGTAAAAAAAAAGTTTGTAAATTTCTGTTATAAATGTTGCTTTTGTTAAAAAATAATAATTTCCGATTTTTCTAGTAATAGATGCTTCAAACACATTCAAAATAATTCGTTTAGCGTAACTTAAATGTACATGTTTCATTGTTTGAATATTATTTTTAGATTAAAGCAATTTTATCCGCTAAAAACCCTTGTGGTTTTTGTTCAATATATTAGTAACACAATCTCCATAAAACTCTAGGCCAAATTTGCCTTTTACCCAGTTTTAGCACTAACTCTAAAGTAAACGTCGATGAACTGATATTCCATAAATCATGCTGCCCTCCTGATAAACAAATTAACATAACATGCTCACCTTGTAGTGTGGACTGGGCATGTTCACGGCACTGTTCCAACCTTTGTCTAGCAGAATCTAAGTTATCCATGGCGTCCCAAAGACTTTTCATTTCGCTTGTTTCAGCGTTATGCTTAAGGTAAAGGTCAACGATTTTCGACTTGACTTTTTGATGCTCTTTTTCTATCTCTTGCACATCACAGCGCAAGTTGCATAGTTCAGTAGATTTGATCTTTGTTTCGTCCTTCATTACCTCATCAAACTGAATCCGATTCAGATTGTCTTCCAGATTTTCACAGTCGACTTTGACATTCGAAAGCTGAACGTTTGCCGAGTCAATGAACTGCATGAAATTGTCATCATCTTGTTGCAAGGTGTCGTTTTTACTGTGTATTGGCGGTATCTGCTCTTCCATTGTCGTGTGCTTCTGCTTGGTTTCAATGTTCCATTTTCCCAAATCCCCAATCTTTGGTTCTATTTCAAAAACAGCACCTAGTAATTAGAAAAATAAGGAAGAACACATATTTGACAACATTTGTTACCAATTTGTGAATGTATTAAAGCCATGTTCATTGCGTTGTGATTATGGGTTTTAAAAAAAAGTATGAGTGGAAAAACGTGTTCTAATACTAGTTAATAGAATATCCAAATCAATCACTACGAAAATAAAGAATTCCGTCAAAAAGTTCAATGTTCGACTGCTGAGGTGGTTATGATTGCAATTTGAACTGAAGTTTATGCATTAAATGTATTTTGGTTCCAAAGATATCCAAATTGTAAGATATTCTTTATTTAGGTACAGAAAGACTATCAACAGGTGACGTAAGTGCTGTTTGGTTTATCTTAAAATTATAGAACCTATCATATTTTCCCTTGATTCACAATTAAACATCCTACATTTAATCTTTTTTTTTATTTGGGGGTGGGGGGGGGGGGGGCGAAGCTTTTCATGCCACAATGAACAAAATAAAAACTTTAAACCCTACCTTGCAAAGTCTTTTCGTCTAAAAAACTTCTGTTGTCCAGGTCATAGATCGTTTATCCAGCTCGCCTAACACGGCAACAAGTCTTTCTATTTCACCTGATAGGTCATCATTTTTCTTCGTTAGCTCGTCGAGTTTAGTGTTATTGATTGTTAAGTTTTCTTTGATCAACAAAATATCAGATATCATAGTGTTACGCTTGTCATGCATATCCGTTGTTTCTGTTGTTACTTTGTTGTCAAGTTGTGTTAGTTGTGAATCTAATTTGACTGATGCCTCTGAAATTTGTTTTGCAACTTCTGCAATAACGTCATTGAATTTATTGTTTTGCTCTTTTATTTGGTTGTCCAGTTTGTCACATGTAACGTTGATATTTGAAAAGGACTTCTTTTGTTTCTCGGAATCTGAAGTGAGCTTTTCTACCAAGTTCCTTTGCTTCTGTTTGATGCCTACCACGTCTTTTCTAACGTCCATTACCTGCGAACTAATGTCGTCCACTGAACCTAGACATAACAGAAAAATATCATCAGCATGGAAGAGAAAGGGATTCCCGTAAACACAATTAAGTATACGTGTCAACTGCTTATGCCATTTAGGCCGTTAACTCCTATTTCAGCCTGCTTTTCTTTTTGGATTTGCTTTCATAGCTTTTGTCCAACCAAGAACAAATTACAAGGCAGCAGTTGTTTAATATTTTTTTAGTTGTATCCTCGAAGAGTTGCCTCCTCGAAGAGTTGCTGTCCCCAGCTGTCGAGCCTCATCTGCCCTAGGGTTATAACTCTAGATTGATCGACCCCTTGTATGTCCTAATGACGTGAAAGATTTATCTATGCAATACAAGCTATGGCAATGTTGGTAAATATTG